CTGGTGTGCTTCTTCCATGTGGGCTTTGTTGCTTCTGAGTTAGATGACCGCTTGTTTGTCTTCAAGCCCTTAAGACCCCAGATGCTATATCTTTTGATAGCCGGGCACCATCAGCTTTCTTCACATTTGCTTATGCACACATTTGTCTTCAGCAATCATGTCGGGAAAGTGTGTATCATGGAATGCCAATTTAATAGAGCAACGTGTTCTTGCATTGAGTAAGTACTTCAGTAGAGTTCCAATGTCCATCTGCTGCCTTAATACTAAACCTATAAATATATGCACATAGATCTGTTTCCCCACCATCCTATAAAAATATATTTACATATGTACGTGCCTGTATTTAGACCTCTGTAAATACCCTTTGTCTCCTAGTTCTTTCCTCTATTTTCTTTTACTTTCCTCTTGTCCTACTAACATGCTCAGCCTCATTTGGGTTTCAGTAATTTCTCTCAGTTACATTGCCCTTGCTGAATCCCTACCAGGCTTCTTATACCCTCCTTGCCACTAATTTTGGATCACTTGTTGCTCCCCTGTCCCTGGGTTGGTCAACATCACCTCCTTACCCCCGCCTCTCCCTCTCCCATGTCCCCCCAGAACCATCAGTCCCGTTGTTTTCTCCTCCAGACTGTTCATCCAGCCTATCTTATCTAGATAGAACTGTAGAGATAATAATATGCATCAAAAAACAAGGCATAGCAAGACAAGGCGACGAATGAGAACACAGCGATGACAACAAAAAAGAAAGCCAATGACCCATAAATGAATAAATTAATTAAGAAAAAGAAAATATTTTAAAAAGAAAGAAAAACCTGTAGATGGATCAAGTTCTGAATTTTGAACTCTAGGCGTGTCCTCCAGTCAAGTGTGATGGGGTGCCACACTCTGGCCCCAGGGTCTATCCTTTGTACTCCCTTGGGAGCTCTGCTCCTCACCCCACCCTTGCTCTGCCGCAGGCCTTTAGTGTTTTGCCTCGGTGTTGCGGGGTCAGTCTGGGCCAGTCCCGACACTGAGTCTCCAGTGTTGTCCCCTGTAGGGCCCTGGGTCCACGAGGGACATCGATCAAGCACAATTGTACGTATTTATTTGATTCCATAATTTTGCGTTCATTTTGCCCCAGGTCTAAACTATTTTATTACTATAGTTTTATAGCATATTTTGATAGCTGTTCAGAGGAGTCGTCATTGTTTTTTAGAATTTTTTTCTGTCCTGATAAAGTTTTTTTATTTTCTAGATGAACTTTACTATCATTTGATTAGTTTCCAATGACAAGTAATCTTAGTGTTTTAATTGGAAACTTGCCATTCATCTTTAAAAAACAAAGCGAAATGCAACACATTTTTTTCAACTCGCCTGTCGCAGTCCCCTTGGTGTACCTTCCCATTTCCCCCTTTCCGATCCTTTTCTTTTCCTGGCTCTCGAAGCGTTGTCCTGGCCGTGCAGCTTTGTCCGTTCGTTTTTATGTACTAGTCCTTGTTATGAGGAACCTGGGTGGCGTAGTGGCTTCGAGTTGGGCTTCAACCAGAAATGTCTGCAGTTGGAGGGCGAGAGACAGGGCTTTCTGCGCCCACAGACAGTTACAGTCTTGGACTCGCACAGAGGCAGTTCTACCCTTTCCGATAGGCTCACGTGAATTGACTGGACGGCAGTGAGTAAATTCTTACTATACTCACCATCTTTTTATTAAGTTCCAGATGCCCATTTCCATCTCTGAAAAGAAACAGTAGTGATTTGGTTCTTTTATTCTGTATCCTTTTATTTTTAAGTGAAAGAGAAATTTGACATTCATAGGGTTAAAGAAGGTTATTCTGCAATGAGTGGAAAAATTCCCTCTGTCCCTTGTCACAAGTTTAAAATGTCAGTTTGTGTGATGTAACCATTTGGGGTCCACTTTTAAAATTTTAGGACTAGTGTAATTCCTTCATGCAATAAACTGAAAAGAACCATTAAAAAACAAACACCGGGAAAAAAAAAAAAAGGAAGGTTATTCTGAGAGAAGAGCCAGTCAGAGTTCAGTATAGCAACAATGAAACATACAACTTTCCTCTAGTTCTATAATGCTTCCTCCTCCCCACTATCATGATCCCAATTCTACCTTACAAATCCAGCTAGACCAGAGGACGTACAGTGGTACAGATAAGAGCTGGAAACAAAGGGAATCCAGGGTAGATAAACCCCTCAGGACCAATAATGAAAGTAGCGATACCAGAAGGGGAAGAGGAAGGGGGGGGAGGAAGGGGGAACCGATCACAATGATCTACGTGTAACCCCCTCCCTGGGGGACAGACAACAGAAAAGTGGGTGAAAGGAGATATTGGACAGTTTAAGACATGACAAAGTAATAATAATTGATAAAGTATCAAGAGTTCGTGAAGGAGGGGGAAAAAATGAAGAGCTGATACCAAGGACTCAAGTAGAAAGCAAATGTTCTGAGAATGCTGAGGGCAACAAATGTACAAATGTGCTTGACACAATGGGTGCATGTATGGATTGTGATAAGAGTTGTATGAGCCCCTAATAAAATGATTTAAAAAAATAAAATATAAAATAAGAAGAATTGAAAAAATGGTTAAAGAAAATTTTTAAAAAAAAGAAAAGATAAAGGTTATTCTGTATCCTTTTAAAGTAACCCTCTAGGCAGCTGCAATAATTTCTCAAACAGATGAGCTGATAGGTTGAAAGCCATATGTTCCATGGCCTTTTTTCATATTTCCTGGAATCCCTGAGCCCAGAACATGAAAAGGAGTTTGTCCTGAGATGAAAGGTCAAATTCATTAAATCGCATCACCAGAGTCAAAACGCTGTTGCAGAAGCTGTAGGAACTTTTCTGCCCCTACACACTGCCTCCAGGATAGACACTCAGTGCTTTTTTGTACCAGGGAGAATTGTAAGTGCCTGGTTAGTAGCAGTTCACTTAGTAATCACAATAGTACTTATGTTCTGTTCCTCTTCCTCTTACGGTTGTGGTTCTCTTCCTCATACAGCTGAGCCTTGAGCGTGCCCGTGGCTCTGCCAGCATTACACACCAGGCGTGTGCCAGAGCCAGGGTTTGAACACAGGCAGTTGACCCATACTCATAACATTGTGCTGCTTTTCAGTAAGCTTTCAGGAGGACATGTTTTTGAAAGGTAGTGTTGGAGGAACCAGAAGGTATAAAGCTAGTAGAGGAGAAGTACAGTGGGCCTAATTTGAACAGCTGTAAGAAAGGGTATCACCTTACTTGTAACCAGTTTGAGGCTTGCTCTAAATCTGCTACATAAAAGGTGATTCTCAGTGGGGGCCCAGCCAGCCCACAAGGAAAAAGCAGACTAAAGGGAACCTCTTTTACTGATAAGATGTTTTCATTATATGATTAGCCATTTTTTAATACCAAAAACTAAAACTGCATATGTATATATATGTGCATATATATGCATAAAACTTTCATATATATATATATATATATATATATATATATATATATGGAAAAATTGAAGGTAGGAGATAATAATAGTTCATCACTGATTCAGTTGGGACCCATAAGGTACTTGAGAGAAAATGGTAGAGACTTTTTTTTTTTGACCAACAAAAAATAACCTTTGAATCTGTTTGTAGATCATTGTTGTGCTTTATATCAAATTTCATTCTTACTGTGAAGCTGCTGTTGACTTTCATTGGTAGTTCATAAGTATAATATACATTTTGTGACAAAGATACAAGAAGGGAAAAAGCTGAAGTTGTTCTTTCCCCTTTGGAAGAAAGTAACCATGGACTTGGCAAAGGTAAAAGGAAGTGGTTTAGTCATGTCAGCGGGAAACCTGTCACGGCCCAGATGATTGTTTTAGCAGGCTCAAAGGTAAGCGATAGCTGTGAAAAGTTCTAACACCGCCATGCATGAAGAAACTGATCCGCCGCTCACAGATGGAGTCTTGTATCACATGGAGACTAAAGGAACAAGCCAACACATATCAAAATATCCTCAGTGTTAGGACTTCGGGGTCGTACAAACGACTGGCCTACAGATGGCTTTTCCAGTGAAAAATAAATCAGGAATATGACTAGATTTGCCAAATTATTTCTTCTGGTTTCTATTTGAGATGTTGCTGAATTTGTAATGGTCATAATCCGTTTATTCCACATGTAGCACCTGGCTTGCCAAGGAAAGGAATGTAGCATGATTATGGGTAAGGAGAGAAACCATTCAATTACATAGACCTCCATTTTATTTTCGTCCTAATTCCATAGGGGTATCAAACACTTTCCCTGAGTACATCTCAATTATGTTTACAACCCCTCTGAATAGAAGGTGGATAATAGGAAGAGTGTATGAAGAGGCATACCATAGCACATATTCAGTTCAGAAACTGATGGTTTCTGATGACAGTTGCTGGGTAGAGGTTTATCATGTCTTTCTTTATCAATGTATTTTGTTCCTTTACTGCATTGAAACAATGTTGATTGGATTTTGAGGTTGGAGGATGTATTAGAGCATTGGTTCTCAACCTTCCTAATGCTGCCACCCTTTAATACAGTTCCTCATGTTGTGGTGACCCCAAACCATAAAATTATTTTCATTGCTACTTCATCACTGTAATTTTGCTACTGCTATGAATCGGGCAAACCTTGTGAAAAATGTTGTTTGACCCATAACGGGGTCACAACCCACAGGTTGCGACTGCTGTGTTAGAGAATGTCTTGGTGTACACCACTTGATGTGAATGCAGGGAGGGCAGTGGGAGTGGGCAGAGAGAGAAGTTGTGTAGGGAAGCAATCTGAACTGAGGTCTTAGCTGACCACAGTGAGCATTGGAAACCAGGGTGGTTCTTGGGGTAGCAGCTCAGTTAGATAAGTAGTGGCCTTTAAACTCTCCCTATCGAATAGTGTAAACTTTAAAGGAACCCTTGTAGCACAGTGATTAAGCACTTGGCTACCAATGGAAAGATCAGTGATTTAAACGCATCAGCTGCTCTATGGGAAAAAGATGTGACAGTAGAAAAGCGTCCCTCCCTCAGAGAAGCTGCTAGTAGTTTCAAACTGCTGACCATGTGGATTGCAGCCCAACACTTAACCACTGTACCACCACGGCTCCCCTCAGTTTCAAGGAAGCACTCAATAACTATGTGTTAAGTTGAATTCAAATAAACATAACCTGTAGCTGACTTTGAAGATAACGAAACACTTCTCTCAACTCCCTTTTAGAGCTTGCCATGGCTTCCAGTCACACCGTGTTGATGCGGCTGGTAGCTTCAGCATATTCTATTGCTCAAAAAGCAGGAGCAATCGTCAGGCGTGTTATTGCTGAAGGAGACCTGGGCATTGTGGAGAAGGTACTCGAAGTCTCTTCTCATTCATACTTCATTTAGGTTGATTAAGGCCTGGCTAAAGGATGCATTGGACAGACTAACCGGTAAAAGAATTAAATGTCTCCCTTATAGCAACTGCAGGTCCCTTAGTGCAAATGGACTCCATTTCTGCTTTGAAAATTATCCAAGACTTCCTGTACATTCAATAATAAGCCAATGATGTGCTTTCAAAAGGCTACCCATCAGTTTTATTTTTCTATACAGTTTTCTATTATAAAAAAATAGGAAATGGAGAAAATAATCAAGTAGTAAGCATTCATCCATCTTGCCACCATAGCCCAGATATTTTTTTCAGCATCACTTACATTGTTTGAATTGATTTTATGTTGTTGTTATGTTAGATTTATACAGTTGTAGGGCTTTATCTTTCCACATCTTATTTCTAAAGAGATAGGTCTGAATCAGATTTGGCAAACAAGATATCCAGAATGATGAGGTCTAGCACCATGTCTATAGAAAGAGCAGAAATATTTATCCTAAAGAGGGAAAATTCCAGTTCAACTATCTAACATATGAATTGAGTGTCATATGTCCCTCAAGCTTTATAATTTTAAAAATTAAGTATTAGAATTTTAAAAATTTAAATTAAATGTTAGAATTTACTCTATGAATTATTAGAATTTAAGTATTAAGTATTAGAATTTTAAAAATGGAAATTATTTTTATATAGAAGACTCCTTGAATTATTAGCATTGTGATTAATGAATAAACACGGAAGTTATAAAAAGGTTCACATAAAGCGATAGACTTCAGATAACTAGCAGTATTTAACTTTGGCTGCCTGGAAAAGTTATGAATTTCCTATCTCTTAACCTACTTAAGCAAACAAAATAGCAGTACTGAAAAGGAATTTCTGAACTTGGAGAGAAAATTTTCTAAATAATCTGAAAGCTCCTTTCCACACTTTAATTACAATTAATCCCATGTGATAAACCAAGCCAAGAACCTAACTGACTCATTTAGTGTTAAGTGCCCAAAATCTAAAAACTGGCAGAGTAAGTTACATGATACAGGCAGTCATGCATTAAGAATCAGATTGAGAAAAGCCTGTTCTTCATTGTTGTGCTGTTGTTAGGGGTTGTACAGTTGATCTCAACTCCGAGTGACCCCTTGTGACAGAGCAGAAAGACAGCCCCTTCCCCCACCCAAAAGGACTCACGCTGTAACCTTGATGGGAGCAGATCACCAGGTCTTTATCTCTTTTAAGAGTAGCTGAGTGCTTCACCATTGGGCCCCCAGAGCTCCTTATTTGACATTTGTTCCGCCAAAACTATGCCTTCTTTGTTGTAGACAAGTGCCACAGACCTGCAGACCAAAGCTGACCGACTGGCACAGATGAGCATATGCTCTTCACTGGCACAGAAGTTCCCCAAACTCACAATTATAGGGGAAGAGGTAAGAGCGAGCTGTCAGAACTATGCTATTTGAAAATTGTTATTTACCCTATGGGTTTCTAATTGACATCTTAGTGATTAACAAATCACTGTTAGGAGTTCAAACATTTTATCCAGTGTTTCAACATGGAAAATTAGTTATGGTATTCCTTGGATTTGAAGGCCGTATCTGATTAAAGTACTATGATTAGTCCGTTTCTAAGCCTCAACGCTTGGACAAAGAAGATGTGCCTATTGCTGTAATATGAATCATTTAGACTAGGATGAGCACAGTTGTAGACTGTTGGAGTAAAGTGGTTGTGGGTGTGTGCTTGTTTGAATGAAAGCATGCTTGCTACCGAAGGAACTGCCATCTCCTATAATTGAGGGGGAAGAATGATGCAATATCACTGCTACTTATTTAAGTAAGTTTAAAATACTTCAAAAATATTTTCCTTATGTGATCTGTTCAGATAAGGAAATGAATGTTGGGATAGTCTGTGATTAGCTTTGATGAACCCATGTACCATGTCTGTTGCAGTTTTATTAGGTTTGCTTTCAAAGTTCTAAAAATACGTGCTAACTGGGAAAGGCCCGGGAAAACTGCAACGCTGCATGCCATCTGTTACTGAGGCAGCATGCAAACTCTGTGTAGCTTCAGTTTTACCACCAGTGTTACTTACCTCTGCTGTAGGACCTGCCTTCTGAAGAAGTGGACCAAGAGCTGATTGAAGATGGTCAGTGGGAGGAGATACTGAAGCAACCGTGCCCATCGCAGTACAGTGCTATTAAAGAAGAAGATGTATGCTTCGTATTTATACTCAACTCTCTCGTAACTTTTGCTTTATACCATAGCAAAGGAGATAAATTGATGAAAAGTTGGTGGTTATAAAATAGGGACAAGCCAGGAACTTGAAATCTTTCAATGCCAGCCTAGAAGTGTCAGATAGCCCTGTGGAATGTCTACTGTGTTGGTTTAGAGGGGGGCTTCTTCATACTTTTTCCACTCACAACCCCGTTTTGCCCAAGAAATTTGAAACACGGGCAAGTGCTACCACAAACACCTTGGCTTTATTGCACGTTTGATTTTGAATTATTTTTTTGCTCATTGCACATTCAGGAACATTTTACTGTTGCCTGATTTTTCATGATCATCCCTCACATTCAGTTACACCATCCTACATGGGGTTGCGACCCCCAGTTTTAAGAAGCTTTGCACTTTAGGGTTCATTTTTTCCATCCCTTCAGTTTCCTTTCCACTTTGAAAGTACTATTAAAGATGCTTTTAGGGAGAAAATCTAATTTGTTTTATAGCAGGTTTGACAAAAATGCGTTTAATTGGCAATTGAAGTTAGAAGGAGATGAAACAGGTTAGTGCATTATATTTTTAAGAGATTTTTAAAATCACCCCTTTGATTTTTTTAATGGTTACTTAAATGCATGATTCCAAATAACCACCATAATTCCTTAATGTTAATTCACTTAACACCATTCATTGAGCAGTTACGCTGAGAAAGGTGCTTCATTATGTAGCATGGTGAATGTAAAGAAAATGAGACAGTGTCTACTCTCACAGACACCTGATGCCCATCAAGCATTATGGTTAGCGTAGCTGATGACCAAATGTTCTCAAATTGGGTTAAAAGTTTTATGCAGTATGTATTTTTTTAGTCTGCCAATTTTATGAACTATTCATTTTTCTCTGTTATATATGAGCTGTGTGTTCATCAGACTGCTGTTATTAAAAAGAAAAGAAATAGCACTTACATATAGAAATGAGCAGCATCCACACACTGTTCTAAACGGCTTTGCAGCCACCCTGCTAGTGTTCACGTACGGCCATCTGAGCTCAGTCTGTTCACAGCATGTGCTTGGAGCTCTGGTGGCAATGGACTTTCATCAGTGAAGCATTTCCTGTTTAAAATACCTAGACCTGGCCTTTCCCTGATTTAAAGTAATTACAAAGCAATAAGGTGTGTTTGTTTTTGTTTGACTGTCACACTCACTGCCATCCAGTTGATGCAGGCTCATAGTGACCCTGTAGGACAGGATAGAACTGCCCCTGTGAGTTTCTGAGACTGTCACTGTTCACGGGAGGAGAAAGCCCTGACTTTCTTCCAAGGAAGGGCTGTGGTTTCAAAACAAGTGACCCTGCAGATCACAGTCCAGCGTGTAACCACCAGGGCTCCCAAAACTGATAGTATTGACTTCATTCATCCATCCATATTATAAGGTCAAAAGTGATAAAAGACTGGGATCATTTTACTAAATCTACTTCAAAACTTTCACTTTCTTCATTTGGATATTTCTTCTTTTTTTTTTTCCAGCTTGTGGTCTGGGTTGATCCTCTGGATGGCACCAAGGAATACACTGAAGGTTCATATCTCTTGTGTTTGTCTTTGACTACAGTTGGATGGACTGTTGGCTTGTGAACATGAGATACTGCATGCATTGTGTGAAAAGCCAGTATCATATTTTATGTGTCTTACCTAAAGCTCTACTCGTGTTCATCTTCGCTGTTTACACATACCCACAATTGTCAAGTCAGACAGGGAGAAAATTCCTCTCCTTTAATTATACCTTACATACACTCATGCACTGCCATCGAGTTGATTCTGACTTATAGATGTCCTCTAGAGCAGAGTAAAACTGCCCCTTTGGGTTTCTGAGGCTATAAATCTTTACAGCATCCAAAACCCCCATTTTTCCAAACTGCTGGCCTTGTTAGCAGCTCAGTGCGTAAACCACTGTGCCACCAGGTTTCCCTTCACATACACTCACTCATTGTCCTTGAGTCAAGGTCAACTCACAGTGATCCTATAGGACAGGGTAGAACTGCCTCTATGAGTTTCCCAGACTGTAACGCTTGGCGGGAGTAGAAGGAATCCTATTTCTCCCGTGGAGCGGCTCGTAGTTTCAATCACTGACCTTGATGTTAGCTGCCCACCACATAACCACTATGCCACCAGGGCGCCCACAGACACTAATGGCCCTCAACGGAGAGTCAATGTGTCAGACCATGTTATCAAAGGATTATATTGAACTCCCCTCCCAGGTTTAACGTATTTTCAGAAGCAGGAAACCACAGCTATACCACTCTGGCTCTGCCACCCCCAGCATCCCATGTCATCCCACTTACTTGGTAGACTACTCCTTTCAACGGTGAACCACTTCTCACTTCACAGGCTTTCCTTGAGTTTTGTTGACACAGTATAAGATTTTTTTCTACAGTTATTTCAGATGAGAAAACAGCAAACTAAAATAAAGTTGGCATAATAGTAAAAATGACCAATCTGGGGGGCAAAGTTTCAGATTTTAGAAACATAGCTTGAGTTTAGAATTTTTTTGCTTGAAATGAAGGCAATACATTTTTTTAGAATGCCCCATAATTACTAGGATAAAAATCTTTTTCTTTCTCTGTTCTTGTATATAATGTATTATCTCATGAGTGAATCAATGTGTGTACGTGTGTACTGGAAGTCTTTGTAACCCTTTAAGGAATATGGAAAGGAAACAGCTTTAGTGTGCATGAGCACATAGAGATCTTGTTCAAAATGTAGGCTTGGTTCCATTTGCTCACTTTCCTTCAAGAGCTCTGGGAAAATGCTCAGGAATCTCTGTCTGAAAAGTGCACCAGTTGATTCTAACGCGTCTTGGAAGACTGTGCACCTAACTTTGAGAAACGTTGCTATAAAGGTTTGAAATGCAAAGGTAGGGTGTGGTCCCGTTAGTAGAAGTGAGTTGGAAAGTGGCAAAGAGGCTCTCATAGGAATCTAGATGACTGCAGAGTTTATGGTAGATTTTTTTAATTGCTTCCTAAATTGTCCTAATGAAACCATGCTTATCAATTCAATTAAGTGACCATAGGCTCTCTTTCTCACTAGCCAGTTCTCCTATAATTTGTGCATTTTGCCATAAGATTGTTCATGGATGAATCATTGCAAATTCCTTACCTTTACTCAAAAATAGCTTGAGACATTGAGGTACTGGTGATGAGTCATAGCATGGAAGTTATTTAAATACATCTTCATTTCTTTTCTTTTTTTTAACGTAGGTCTTCTTGACAATGTAACGGTTCTTATAGGAATTGCTTATGAAGGAAAAGCCATAGCAGGAATTATTAACCAGCCATATTACAACTACCAGGTAAAACTCTAGATGGTACAAAAATACTTTAGTGAATACGTAATAGAGTTTTATGATTCCTGATATCGAATCCAGTGGTTTCTATATTGGTCACACATGCCATCATCAGAGGACCTTTTTCAAATACAGATTTCTAGTCACACTCCAAGATACTGAATGAAAGCTTCTGGGAGAGGTGGTGCCAGGAATGTATGTGTGCACGCACATCTACTGTATGTATTTACATATATTCTTATGTATGCCTTATGATCAGATGCAAACGTTTGAGAACTCTGGATATTGGCTTTTGATTCACTTGAATATCAAGACACCTGATTTTCAGATGGTTTTTAAAACACATTGAAGATATTAATCATTTTGACTAAGAAAAAATGCTAACCATGTTGTTTTCAAGGTAATACTGTGTAGTGTTCAGTACAATACTGTATTAGTCTAGGTACTTTGGAGAAACAAATCCACAGCAACTCA